ATAAACAACAGGAGAATAGAGTAATTTTTTATTTGTAGTAATCAACATGATGCAACAAATTAAAACATCGATAGTTCCTGTGAAGCCTTGGACCCTGGCTTGCAAGAACCTCAGTATATTTTGTGGATTTAGTGAGGGCAAACCATAGTCCCTGGTCTGAGGAGAGGTTATCCATCCCCAACTCACAATGCAAGCATCTCAGCTGCTCCTATTAATTTTCCATACACATGGAGCCAAATTCTGCCTGGGATTATTATGCAATTTTCAAAATGGCTTTAAGTCTTTCAACTTACAAAGTTACCATTTACATGGCAGGGGCCTGCTGGCTGGGATGAATGAATGAACACTCTTTCCCAAAGGACCATAATTCATTCTCTGATCATAGCTTATGCATTTGGGAGAATTGGGATCAGTGTGCCTGGCGCCTCCCTCCCCTCTACCCCACAAAGGAGTCTTACACTGCCAGAGAAGAGGAGACAAAGTGACTGTGTGCCATCGAGCATGGAGGTGTGGCTCGGAGGTGTTGACTGTGAGCAGCAACAGCCTAACATATAAGCAACTGTCTACATGATGTGATTTCAGGTGCGCCAAAAAAGGCCTCATTGCCCCTCAGTTTAAACACTCTCTTCCCACTGGCGGATGCCGGGAATTCCACAGTTTTTAGAGTTCTGTTTCTCTGGTTTAAAGCTTTGATCCCTGTTAAAGTACTGGTACCCCTGGGTGGGCAGCCCCATTATATCCCGTCAACCATTTTCATTGTGAGCGGATGAGTTTGAAAGTTTCTCCCCTAAAAGCCCGTCTTGAGAGTGGCGTTAAGGGCAGAAGATCCTGCACTCCTGAGGGGGATGGGAAGAGGAGGACATCACCTGAGGGGGGTGTGTGAAGGGAACTGGGCCCAAGACAAACAATGTGTGCATGTGTGGCCATGTGCAGGGCTGCATATGAGCTCCTCCCATGGCTACAGCTGTTGAACACCCTTTCTTAACCCTCTCCCAGAAAACTTGATTTATGCTGCTTTTGGGGCTATAGAACCAGACTCTCCTCCCAGCCCCAGCAAGATAATAGCTGCTCCCTACAGCTGGGAATTCTCGAATTCTTTCAAACTGGAGACTAGGAAGGAAAGGTGAAGAAAAGTATTTTTGGGCTTGCTGTGCTAGGTAGCCTGCCCGCCTCCCTGGGGGTCCAAAAAGGAAACCCCGGTCCAATGGTGTTATCTAAATGCTTTCAAGGGAGCCTAAAAGCACAGAGCCATGAATTGTCCAAAGTGAGCACTCTCTCAATCAGCACACCCTTCTGTATTCCCAGGCTGATTGTTTCTTTTTGTCTCTCCTTGCTGAAGAGCGCAGATGAGTCATTGGGCTGATTCCTAACACAAGGGAAGGGGCCCTGAAAGATAAGACAGCTTGGGTAAAATGGAAACCCAGTCTTTGTTGTTTGTTTTAAGGATGAGGTCTTGCTGTGTTGTCCAGCCTGGCCTCAAACTCCTAAGCTTAACTGATCTTCCTGCCTCAGCCTCCTGAGGATCTGGGACAATAGGAGTGTGCCACCGGGCCCAGCTAGAAAACCCAGCCTTGTTCATGGTCATCAGTCTGGGTGGTATTCAGTGTATAATGTAACAGATTTTACACTTTTTGTTAAGGATTTTTTTCTTCCTTTCTTTTTCCTTCATTTCCCTCCCCTCTTCTTCTGTCTCCTTCCTCCTCCCTCCCTTTTTCCCTCCCTCCCCCTTCCTCTTTCCTTCCTTCCTTCCTCCCTCCCTCCCTCCCTTCCTTCCTCCCTCCCTCCCTTCCTTCCTTTCCAGCGCTGGCGATGGAACCCACGACCTTCTGTATGGTAGGCAAATGCTCTGCCTCTGAGGTATACCCCTTTCCCCGAGTTAGGGATTTTCATCAGTAAAATTATGTGTCATTGGTAACCAAAGGTCGCAGCTACGCATGGCATTTCTGCAAGCCTTCTTGACCAAAAGCCTGTGCCACAAAGTCTGTTTCAGTGCTTGAAATTCCACTGTAAGAGTCATCACTTGGGTACAGGAAGGTTAAAGTCTTTGAGAGGTGCTTATAAAAATGGAACCACTTCTTAGGCATAGCAAGTTTTATTAACTCTTGCCATAGGTTGGCTGAAAGCCCTGAAGTAGCTGCTTGAATTGGGAACAGAAGCTTCCAGGCCAAAGAAATATATCCCAAAACCTCAGAGCCAGCTAGCCTATGACATAGCCCACACCCTAGGCGTTCTTCTACCACTCCCACACATATTGCTGCATCTTCGTATTCCCAATAGTATTTAATATTTTTCTTTAAGCAAGCTCACACTGCTGTTGAAATAAATAACACAGAGCACTAATCATGTAGCTTTCTCCTAGAAAAACCAGGGGTCGAATGCACTAGTTATATGTACCTTTTCTAATCTAGCTTTTAAATAAATACATATTAAAATAAAATCCCAAAACTTCATTGGCCCACTTCATTCAATCCAAGGGTTTACACAGTTCACTTGGGAAGCACTGCTTTGGTTCATACAAAGTGTATTAGATAGAAAAGCATATATTAAAAAGGAGCCATAGTCATCCCTTTCCAGGTACTCAGTACCCAGTAGTTGAAAACAACTGTTCCCTTTGTAGTCGGTTGCATGAGCTCTGGAAGATCATGAATTTATGGGAGGTCATGTCTTCCTCTGCAAGGTCATGAAATTCAATCAATGCTTGCCTTCCTATCTGCCCTTTGGTCACAGGGCTCCACAGGTGGAACATATCAAACTCACCAGCCAAATTATGACTCTTAATTGGTGTTTCTTTTAAAGTGGATATGTCATTTGTCAAACGTTCAGTGCAGGCGCAGGTCTGGCCTCAGGCAAAATTATGAAGTAGAAGAATGCCAGATACATAGGCGGCCCTCCGATGTTTGTTGAAAAAGAGTGAATGAGCCTTCCCGTCCTTGACTCCTTTGCTCCCATCCCCCATACACACCGATCACCAAGCCCTTTTCTGTCTATCTCCTAAATATCTCTGAGACTTTTCCCTCTTCCACACCTCTGCTGCCAGAGGCCTTTATCATCTCTTCTCTGGATTATTTTCACAGACTCTTAACCGGTCTCCTCGCTTGTGATATTGTCTCCTCTCCACAATATCATCAGAAAGACCTTCTAATAAGACAGATATGATCATGTCACTTCTCTGCTTAAAATTGCCCTCAGTGGTTCCCTAGGCTGTTCTGCATGGCTTCCAGATTCTGCATAATATGGCCCTTGCTTGCCTCTCCCACCTTCACCCTTTTAGCTCCTCAGCCTGAAGTCACCACTCACACTTCTGACCCTCCAAATGGGCCATGCCAGGTCCTGTCCTCTCTGTTCAAGCTGCTTACACCCTTCCCCCCACCTCTTCTCACCTCTCCTCCTACTGTCTTTCAAGTCAGAGTTTAGGGCGTCATCTCTTCTGGGACACTTTCTCTGATCCACTCTCTCACCCTTAGAACTCTATCTTAGCACTTAACACACGATGTCTTAACATTGTCTTCCCCATTAGGCTTGTGGTTCTTTGAGGCCAAATACCACAGGCTAATCTTTGTATCTCCATTGTCTGTTTAAATCCCAGTGTCTGGCACATAGTAGGGCTCAAATATTTCTTATCGAATAAACAGGTGAACAAATGAATGTACTCCTCATGAACTTTCTCTTCAGTCCACAAGTCCTGTGACACAACCGCCTGGCCCCTGGCCTAGCACACACTGGACAACTTGTGCTTCCAAGGCTCTCCCTTCTGTCTGCTCTCCAAACCCACATCAGAAATACCACCATCAGGTCGTGAACTAATTCACACAAAGCCAGTCATTTACTTGTAGAAATACTTATTGAGCCCCTACTGTGTGCAAGGCACTGCGCTAAGGTGTGTCTGGGTGGGTGTATGGGTGGGGAGGGTCACAGAGACCTAATACCCCCAAAGACCGCTTTGGAAGCACAAAGCCAGCGTGACTAGATGCATTCCTCCTCTGAGAGGGATTTGCTTCTCAAAGAACTGGATTTCTAATGGTGAAATTTAAGCAGGAGAGCTGGGGATTGACAGTTTTCTACTCCACCTATGAAATATCTATCTCAGATTTAATGAATTCGCTCTGTAAAATGACTTTAAAATGAGTTAGACTGGTTTTAAAGCCCAGATTATGTCACTGTCACCAGTTACCCTTTGCTCTACCCGGCACTATCCTGCAGGAGATAGATGCTTTTAACATCCCGGGATCAAGTGCTTTCTCTGACTTCGTGTGGTTCCATTGAATCAAACCTAGCAAGCCACGGGGGCTTCCGGACTTTTTAAGTTCAGTATTCAAAGATGAGGCAGGCTGTGCAAATCCCGGAGGTCCCCAGCTGCTCCTGAACGTGACTATTTGTCGGTTGGTTTTGAGAGCTCAGCCAGAGCTGCGTAGGAAAAATGGTTCGCGGGCAGCCAGCCTCTTAGAAGGCAGGTCGAAGAGATGGATTTTGTGTGAAGGAAGCCCTTGCTGGCTCTGGTGGCCAGAGAGGGGCCACATCTGGCTGTGAGGAGGCCCATGGCGAAGCAGAAGAGCACCTAAGCCAAGGGACCCTCACCCACCCCAAGGAAATAGGGGGAGGTTGCAAAAATCCTAGAGGGAAAAGCCCTCTTGGCTGTAGGCCAATGAGCGGCGGGAAGGAGGAGTGAGGCTGGAGAACTTCTCCCAGAGCCAGTCAGAGGGGATGGCTGCTGGGAAACCAATCAGCGCGCCCGAGCCCGCAGCCCCTCTGCAGTAGTTATGCCAGAGCGCCCTGTGTAAGAGCGGCGGCGACCGGGCAGCTGAGCTGGGCCGCGGGGAGCCACCGCACGCGCTCCGCACCCTGCTCCCGCGCCGGC